GGCTTGGAAGGCTGCAGGCGCGACCGGGACCGGGACCCCAGACGGCGCGCGGAATCGTGATTGTGAAACGCGAAAACCGATTATGCCGCGCTCGGCGAGGTTGGCGGGCGGAAGCTTTCGAACCAGTTCGTGGTGCTCGATAGCGTGTTGGCTGCGCTCTCTTCCTTTGGTAGGCTCTTCCATCACTTCCAGGCTTATCGATACTACCTCCAAGTCAATCCACTATCTTGAGGTCTAAGTGAGCAAGTGAAGCCGACTACCAACTGGCAACGATGAACGCGTCATCAAGCCAACTCCATCCTCCTCAGCGCTCTTCCTCTACCTCTGGTACCCAATCGTATTCTCTCCATCATGATATAATTAAGGATGGGACGGGAGTTCAAGAGAATAAGCAAGGGAGCATCCTCTCAAGGTCAAAGCCCAGTGAACCTGACGAACGGTGAACGCATCATCAAGACACCCATCTCGTCCACCTCTGCCCATCCAATCGCGGTCTCTCGATCACGGTATAATTGGCTCAGAACACACAAGAGGAGACGAGGGGGAGGATACGTACGGTGAATTCCAGGTAAGTGTACAACTTACACGCCTGTCTGAAGTGTTGTCTCGATGTCTAATGCCATGATCCCTGTATCCATCTTCAGCGCTTCGGTATTATGCAAGGCTTCAATTTTGACAGGTACTCGCATGGCCGAGTCGACCTTCGAGCTTTCGCGTGGGAGTGGTCGTAAGCTTCAGAAATGGGAGAGACGGACAAGAGAGGGCTGTCGGGAGGCGGGGTCCTGGACATCTGTATCCTGGACCTGAACACTGGACAGTGGACAAAATGTCGACTGTCGACGCCTCCCGGATTATCTTTCGGCGGTTTGCATCAATGACATATCTGGACCCCGAAACGACTGCTCTACTTCCAGCGACCGCATCGACCAAGTGCCAGGGCTATTCCTTACTCCTGGACGCGCGTCTGTTACGAAGGCGCCCCGCCGGCGAGCAACCGTAAATGAAGAACGCATGCCCATTCACAACTCCGAGTCCAAGTCCAACGGTGTCGTTATAATTATAAAGTAATTATCGGGCCTCCGAGTAAGGTGAGCAAGTAATGCGCGATTGGCGTTCATCTTAATTTTAATCTTACTCTCGTTGAGAGGCTTCGCAGGTCGTTGATGGGCCCTACATAGTCGTATCCACCCCTCAGCGCTTTCATAGGTTTCAAAGGGTTTCAACGCTACTCTAATGGTAATAGCTCCAAGATTGAAGCGCTTCTCTCTGCGCTTCTTTTTCAAGGTGCATGTTCATGTTCGTGTTGGTGTTTGATCTTTGACAGGTCGCTGGGTCACGCCCGTACGCTTCGAGTGTCCTCACGCCTTTGGACACAGGATCTAGGATCATGTAAGACCGAAGATTATGGGCCGGCCGCGGCAAGTGTTGGGACTCGAGGAAAAGTTGATGTTATTTCGGACTCGACTTGAAGCGAAACGAAACGTTCTCGTCACTTGTACACTCGGGACCATGGACGTCCAGCTAATTATCGCCACGCTCATGGGTCTTGACGATAATTTCGTCTATGCAG